GAAAAGAAAAATGTGTTCATAGTCACTTGTACCTTAAATGAACCCCATAGATCTAAAAAATTTACGTAGGAGGAGTTTGAATTCACTAGGAAACATGAACTTAAGGTAGTGGAGAAGGAAACTGTGTATGAAGTTTGCCTTTAACTTTAGACAGTGGTATATTTATACACCTATTATCTGAAGTAACTTTTTTTTTTTTTAAGAATAAAATACTCAGTGTGTCCATTTGGAGCCATGGTTGTGCTTCTCCAGAGCTGTCAGGTAGCACTAGCTTGCTTTGAAGACTGGGCACGTGAATTACACGCAAGATTTAACGTCTAAATTCCTTGTGAATTAAAAATGAAAGTGCTGGTGCCAGCTGGTGCTGTCTCAGGGCTCAGGGTCACTGCCCACTTGAAAATCCTCATCTTCAGTATGTAATGTGCCTGACTTAGGAAATAGGAATCAGAATACTTGTGGGTGGTCTGGGTGCTTTTAGAAACTGCAGTCTTCAGGTGTGGTGCGTGGAGCGCTCTGCACGGGTAGCTCTGGAGCCCTTGAGGTGAGGAGATGGTGAGATTTTGTGTTGCCTGTGACTGAGCAGTTTCTGATTTCAGTGGGAGAATTTGGCCTAGAGTGTGGCTCTGAATAAATACGTGCAGAGAGGTGTGCTGGTTGTGCTGTTAGGGATGTGGCTCAACTTTTACTCTGTTGTTGTGAGGCCTGGGAGGGGCGGCAGGTAGGTTTGCATTTACCTTTAGAATTGAGAATGCTCAAGAGTTTTCATTAAAGATGATTTATGGTAAGCAAGTGGTTGATACTGTTAAAATGACACTGGCCCTGCCCTATTCATATTAACCTTCTGAAAAATGAAGGGTAATAGGGGGACAAATTTCAGGATGTGACTGCTCAGCCTCACCTGCTGCCTTGGCACCATCCCACATACTCACTCTCAGGCCGCAGAGGAGCATAGCAGTATCCTGGGGCGTGGGGGGCGTATGTGGCCTTTGTCTGCATGTGTCATAGGTGTTTACAAAAGCAGCATGAAAGCTTGTGTCACCTTCTAACCACCTTCCCTGACGCCAGGTTTGTTTTTAAATTAGTGGATGTGTGTGGCTTTCTTTGTCCTAACATTCCCAGCAAATTTTTGCTGCTAAGACTATCACTATTAAATAAGTGAGAATTACAGGGGAAAATGATGCTTCAACTCAAAATGTGATATTTTCTTGAAAATTTTTATGCTTTAGGATCTTGTTGGACCCACTTAGTGTATTCATATAAATGAACCTGAGTATGAGTGTATTTTATGATAAAATCCAACACCTTATATATTGCTTGGGGTTAGGGGCCCCTGGAGGGCTTACCCAGTTTTTCTCTACTGTGTTAATAACTAATTCTAGCCTGTGGGTTATTTTAGTCTGTTAGAAGTTAGACTTTGGAATGTTCAATATGGACTGAAAATTTCCATCTTTAGTTTGAAAATCCATAACTTGTATCTCGTGTACGAGACCTGAAGCAGGGCTCGTGTGTGCACGCACTGGGCATACGGCATTTTTAATTCTTAGTCAGATTTCATCTTGATCTCATTCTGGAAGTGGGAGCTCTAGGGAAACCTGGCTTGTTCTGCAGCAAAACCTGTAGAGGGGGCAGCCTGTCAGCGTCTTCTCTCCCCATCCTGCGCTGAGAGTGGCCATCATGTAAGGACTAAGGACTCTCCACTTGATGCGGACAGCACTCTAAGGGAGATGCAAAACTTCTTAGCAATCAAATGGATAAACTGTTTGCTTTTTACTTTGTGCTAAGTATCCCGTGGCCTTTTTTTTCCCCCAAAACTGATGGGTCCTTGCCATTCCCAGGAGGCAGAAGGCTGAGTGTTATGCCGCCCGCCTTACTAGAATCACACTGGAAACGTTGGTTTTAAAAGAACTTTAGTGTTTTACGTGGGAGGCCAAGTGTGACTGTGGACTGATTTTCTTGAAGAGAATTATGTTTTACAGTTTCAATTCTAAATCATATTCTATGCTGCATGCCAAAAAAAGTAATAATGATGCCTGTTCTTGGAGAGAAAATATTCCACCTTAGCACTAGAACTCAGAACAGGTGTTCACAGAGAGCCTTTCAGTGTGCTGTCGGGTCGAGGTCTGCTGTCCTTGGTGTCTCTGTGGAGTCGCAGTGCAGGTGTGATGGGTTAGAGGGCTCTGCGGACTCTGGTGTCCTCGCACCCGGGTCTTCTCATCCTGGAAACACGGCTTGTCCTATAGCCCGTAGAGGGCAGCAGCCTGTCGAGACTGGCCTTTGGTTCTTCCAACCGTGCACTGAGCACAGGCTCTGTGTGTTCCTAGCCAGAGGCCACCATGGTGAGGACTAAGGACTCTCCATTTGATGCGGACACCACTCTAAGGGAGATGTAGAACTTCTTAGCAATCAAATGGATAAACTGTTGTTTTTACTTTAAATAGGAAATTGTTTTCTAAAAGACTAAAATACTTGAATTGTTAAACATAATCTCAGTTTGTATTAGTTTTGAATGATCCCGTTGAGGGAGTGTTAATCCATGAAATGTGAATAAATGGGAAGTAAACAAAAGCCACTGCGTTTGACACTGTATGTTGCTCTCTGGTACACTTGGCCTGGATACTACCCAGGTAGAATGGAAGGGAGAGAACGAGGAGCTGCAGGAGCCTCCCAGACAGCATGACCAGGGACGTGTGCTTAATCTAGAGACCTGTGTATGTATCAGACTCCTGTGGGTGGGACGAGGCCACCCAAAGTTGCTCAGGCCTTGGGCTATGTCAGATTGCTTTAAAAACAGAGTGGGAGTAGGCCCTTGACTGGCTGGCACACAGGTGTGATGCCGTGGTCACAGCTTCTCCTGGTCCTCCTCAATGAAAAGGAAACCTGGGCCGGGGCGTTGCCCAGGGCAGGGCGCTTGCCTATCACGCAGAAGGCCCTGGGCTCAGTCCCCAGCACTGCAGAAACAAAAAGGATCAAGGAAAACATTGCGAATTTATGTCACTTAAAATACAGGGTGATTTAGAAAACTACAAGATTAAATTCCATAATCAGCAGTACTCTGGAATTGTGTTTGTACTCTTGAAGTCTCCTAAGTAATTAAGTATTTATTTGATTTGGAAGGTGTTTCCTTGTTTGAAAAATACATATTGAAGAGAGTTGATCTATCAGGGTGTTTTTCCTGAACTCCTGACGTCTGGAGGGAGCGACTGAGTGGCACCAAAGGTGCTGGCTGAAGAGCGGGTTGTGCTCAGCTCCCCAGCCCTGCCAGGAGGTGCTCAGCGGCCTGGCCTGCCCACCACAGGGTTTCCAGGTGTGGCCCTGGGCCCGCCCGAAGCATCTGGGAGCTTGCTGGAAATGGAGACCCTTGGACCCCAGCCTAGACTTACAGAACCAGAATCTTGGGCGAGGCCCGCCCAATCATCACCTAAATTGGGTGTAATTTACAATAAAATCCACACTTTTTAAAGTATTCCATGTGGCTTTTAGTTCATTCAGAGTGGCACAACCACTGTCACTACTTTTAAAGTATTGTCATAATCAGCCATTAGGTTTGAACAGCTGAACCCACTTTGAGTTCCGGTTTGGGGCCCCCCGGCCCCCCCCTTCCTTCCTTGGGCTTCTTGTTCGGCCCGAGGGACCACGCAGTGCCTCTTGGCACGCTCTGGAGGAACCAGCAGTAATCATCAGGGCTAGGAGTTACTGGTACCCGGCCTTCTCTGGCCTGCATCACTGTGTCCTGGGAGGCAAGTGGTAGGCCACATTCCCTTTGAGGAGACCCTTGCCCTGTCTTTAGATGACCAGCCTAGGTACTGTGGTGTGTCCTGGTGTGGATCCCTGCGGCTCCCTCCAGCCTGCCCTTGAACCTATGTGCATGCCCATTAAATGACTAAACTGGTTTCTGGAATTACCTAAAGTCTTTTGAGCAAAGTTGTTTATTCAAAATATAATCAAAATTATCTCAAACTGAGCAACCTAATTGTTTTATTAAGTCACATTCCAAGATGAAAGACCCTTCATCTACATAAGAGAAAAGAAAAATCTTATTACGCATCACTCACGCAGAGGCTGAGGCAGGAGGAAAGACAACTTGGCCCTTTCTTTAATCATCCCCTACAAACAGGCACCTCCCTGGTCCTCCAGATTTTCCAGCTGTTTGTCATTTTAACACCAAGCTCAAGAGCACAGCCTGTCTGTACAGCTACTCCCACAGACATTCCTGAGCCGAGCGCTGGGTGGCCCAGTTTTCATTTCTCCCTTCCCAGTACCAGGTTCCCTTTCCAGGGAGCATTTTCTGCTAGGTGCGGGTGTGGCCTCAGCTCAGACTACCAGTCGGAAGGCCAGACCCGAATATCGGCCTTCAAGAGCAGGCCAGGTGGTTACTGTTTTGAAGGGACTTCCTGGTTATTTAACAGAAACAGGATTTGCTTCAGACCACAAGGAAGTCTTGTCCCCCTTCTGATCTACCTCCCTCCTGCTTCCACTTTGCAGTGTGCCCTTGGAGATGCCAGGTCAAGAAATTTTCAATCTGGTGGTTCCAAGGCAGAGGGCTAGACCCCCTGCATTCCTAAATGTGTCTCCATTCTGTAGCTCTGTCTCTTGGGCCTTACTCACACCCAACACTCTGCGACAAGTTGTTCATCCTAATAAAAACACATTCCCTGGAAGGTGGTTCTGAGGCTTTCCGCAGCCTCTGGGAGGATCAAAGCACCCCTGTGAGCACGCCCAGCAGGGTGTGTTCTGAGGGGTGCCAGGCAGGGAGAGCACCTGTTCCCAAACCTCTTACTGGGAGCATGCCCAAACCAAAGCCAGCCCCAGCTTCTGTTCCAGGATTTGCCCACATTTGCTAGGAGTTGGGAAGCTCCACGGCACGACTGTGGGGGTGTGAACCACTCTGAGGGTGGGGAGCTGGGCCTGAAACATGTCTCGGGATTTACCTTTGTAAACATGGCACCTCCGGTCACAGACTCCCAGATGGCTAGCATGAACATAGAGCACCTGGGGGCCTTCTGCAGGACTCCAGCACATCCCGTTCCAAAGAAGTGCCTGTGAAAGCCCCCAAAGCCACTGCAGGACTCTGGGGCAAACCCAGTTTCCATCATTAAGCTATCACTTTGCTCTAACATCTGCAATAGCCTAAAGTGAGCACAACAGAAAAAAATCACTAGGTAGGTATAGATTAGAGGAAACCAGGAGAAAATAACTTTAATATGCAAAGCAACTTTCCAAAGAAACATGAAATCATACAGCAAAGCTGAGGGAACTGCAAATCCTGCCTAGAGATGACTTGTGCTGGAGGTGGAAGATGGCTCATCAATTAGCTGGGGCCTTTATGGAAACACCACGGACAATCAGCATGCCAGCTTGCCCACTGTGTGCCAGCATGATGTTTTTGCTAAAATACATTTTGTTAAAAACCATGAGTTATGCCTCAAAGTGGCAAAAAAAACCTCAACATTTTCTTTGCAGATTTAACCACTCTCAAACATAGAATTAGTTTGGAAACCATAAGAAATTCCCATTTACAAACTTTCTGACCTGCAAAGTGGAGGACTGAAGTCAAAAGAGGGTCTAATAGACAACGCTTCCAGCTGCTCAGCAGAGCCGGAGGATCGCTGCTGCTTTTGACTGACCCAGGCCATGGCCTGGAATCCTAATAGAAGACCTGATCACCTTGGGAATATGACCAGAAGCTGTAAGGTAAGCTCCACGTGACCCTGCTGCTCCACTCCGGGCTCCACCTGCTGCAGACAGAGCTCCACCCAGCCCTAGCTACAGGTGTCCAGTGGTCTGGTTTGCGTGGCGGCCAAGTGGGCTCAGAGAGGGCTGGTGGGTTCTGTTTCCACGGAGGCTCATTTAGTATCTAGTCAGTGAAAAGCAAAGTAGGGAAAGCAGGTCGGGGGTGCCCCAGCTCCCAGCGGGCTCTGTAGAGCACAGGGCAGTACCTGGAGCAGCAGGGGCTGCTGCCCAGCCCTCCAAAGACTCCCTTCAGCCCTGTTAGGATGGTTTTATTGAGAAGTAGTTTGCTTCCCAGGACAAAGACGAGACCCAGCCTGACAGGGAGAGGTCAAGGGATCTGGTTTTTGAGGCTGGATGTGAAATTCCAGTTAACCTGGAAATCTGCAAACATTTCTGGGTAAAACCCACCAAGTTCAATATCAAGTTGGCAGATACCTAAAAAAAAGGCCTTTAAAGAATTTTGGCCAATGATTTAAATCTACCAGGAACAACACTGTTACATGTATTTTCCGTCACTAGGATCAAGGATGGAAATGCCTTCTAAAGTCTCCTACTAACTAATGTACTTGTGAGTAAACAGGAAAAATATCCCATTTCTTTCTAGCTGGATTTTTGGAGAGAAGCCACAGGAGGAGCACACCCTCCTGGTCTCACGGCTGCACGGATTCCTGATTCCTGACAGGAGTGCCAGACGCCACCCTCCCCGCCGTGCTGCGGGCTGGGGAGTGCTTGCTTTTTGTTCTCTTTTGACCACTTCCCTGCCAAGTTGTGTTTTAAATAATGTTCTTTTGAAAAAGTGAGCCTGGCCGCTTTGCAGGCCCCTAGCAGTTCCAGTAAGACCTCAGAAGGCAGAGCTGCTCCACCTGCTCTTTCAAGTGCTGCGGAGGCTGGGATGGAGGCACACGGCCCCGCCAGAGTGCAGGAGCTGGACACTTAAAAAAAACCCTCAGTTTTCTTAATGTCCTAAAAGCTGACACCTAAGTTTCCTCAAAGGAAAGCTTCCCGGTCCCCAGTCGGGACCTGTATGCTTGCTTCCGTCACCCTCCACTCTTCAGGAGACAGGCATTCCCAGAAAAGCTAAAGGTGGCCTTCAAGAAGCAAGAGCGTGCCACCTGGGGCTGTTGGACTCTAGTTCCAGCCAGCATTTGTCACTTGGAGTGACAGCTCAAGTCTGGCTGTCAAGTGCCCCTGAGCGTGTTGGAGGCCAGGCCTCAGAAGTCCCCTTGGAGAAGGGCTTCCGGGTTGAGGACAGAGTGCCTGCGTGTCCCAGGCAGCGTGCTGTGGGCCACACTGCAGCTGAAGCCCAGCTCGACTGTCACCACTGCTTGTGGTGCAGTGCTGGCAGCGCTCTGAGCCCCTCCAGCTGCCTCCTCGCCTAAGATGGGAACAACCACCCAACCTGAGTGTTGGCGTTGGTGCTCCACGCCACCACGTGCCCTGTTCACGCGCCTTACACCACAGGTGTGACCTAAATCGCATCCGCACCTCGTGACCTGTGCAGCAAGCACTCTCCCACGTGCCTTCAGCAGCTCCTCACAGCTACCCCACCTTACAGTGGGGACCCACTACCTGCTGCCGCCCTGGACTGCCTTGTCCTTCCATGGAAGACACATCAGGGCTTCACTTCTCCGAGACCCAGTCCACAAGTCCACAGCCCAGAAGGAGCAGGGAGAAAGCTCTTGAGGCAGGAGGTGTATTTTGGCCATCCTGGACAGATGGGAGCGGCATCAGGCACCCCTGGAGAAGAGCGTGCTGGACAGGGCTCTGCGCAGGCACTCTGGGGCCTGACCTGACTCTGCTGCCCTAGGACGCTGGCTAGGCGCAACCAGCAGAGCCGAGCTGCAGCTCCAGCCTGGGCTGGACGCTGCTGGAGGTCCACACTGACACAGGTCATTACAAAGGGGGAGAGGTGGCGAGCCTCTGGAGCAGCCGCCCCATGACAGAAGGACCGACGGCGCCCACCCCAGGCAGAAGGACCGACGGCGCCCTGACCCGTGGTGCACTGAACCCTGGAGACGGAGTGAGGTAGGTGGAACCGGCCCCGGTCACAGCGGGCAGACGGAGGCAGGGTGAAATGCAACAGCTCGCTTTTAATAACAATATACAAAATCTGGAGAAAGCCCCGAAGTGGTGCCCCATTCCCGGAGCCCGCAGAACGCAGAGGCAGGAAGACATGCTCCCGTCTGCCTCTGCGGCCTGCAGAGGGTCTTAAACGACTGGTGCCCTCCAGTATGGGGGACTTCAAACCAAAACAGCAACAAAGAGACCCAGCTTCCAGTTTATTCCCTGTTGGGTGGGGAGGCCTCTGCTCACGAGAGCACACTGCGCGTCACCAGATGCGGCTCCTTCGCGCTAGGGCAAGGCCAGGCTGGCAGCCCGCACACCGACCGCTGCACCTGCCGTGCACACCCAGCTGAGCCCCACCCTGCCCAGGGAGCTGGTCTGAGAAGAGGGGCCAGCACACTAGCCAAAGACCACCAAGGACAGGAAATGATGCCCAGCCCCCTCCGGCCTCAGGACGGCGGGTATGCCTAGAACCTTCCTGAGGGGAGGCCAACCCCAGCCCACATCAGACACTAACCACAAAGCCCTCCCACCTGCCCAAAGAATCCAAATTCCAGGGGACCCTCCAGCCGAGGCCCAGAACGGGACGCGTCCGGGTCGGAGGTTGTGTGTTGGTGGTGTTCTTTGGCTGGAAGCGAAAGGCCATTCTGGCGGAATCAGGGCGATCTGCTTGGCTCAGGCTGTTCTGGAACTGGGTGTGAGTGAGGTGCTCCAGCCCAGGGCAAAGCGTCCAACAGCAAGTTCCCATCTTCCCCGTCTTCCTGCAGTAACCTATTGTGACAGCGGTGACTAGGGGAGGCTGAGCTGGACTAGCTGGAGGCCCAGGTGTGTCGGGACCCCTTGGCAAAATCCTCAGCTGGGCTTCTTTGGGCTTCCCTAAGGACACACAGTCTGACCACGGAGCGCCCGGGTCTGGGTCCGGCTCTGTCAGCTGTGAGCCAGGTCAGTGGGTCTGGGCACATTCTGGATGCTGGCTATCCTATGGCCTCTTGTGTCTCTGGCCTCTGGATACAGAGGGCTCTCCAGAGGCGGGCGAGTGGCGGCACAGGGCGGGAGCAGAGCCAGAGGGAGGAGGACGAGGCACTTCAGTTTGGGCTGGTGTTCTAGAGTCGGCCCTGGCCCCGGGAGTCGAGTGGCCCCGCCTGGCTGTGGCTCCAGCACTGGCTTGTCACAGAAGACCCCGGTGGCGGTGACAGGTAGGCACTTGGCAGCACTCCCAGGGCTGAGCAGGGCCGGGGCTCCGAGCGGGCTGCACGCACTCTAGGTCATCAGGATGGGCTTCTGCCGGACTTCCAGGATGTCTAGGGCCAGCAGGGAGGGGCAGGGGGGTCAGGGACACTCGACCACCATGCCTTGCCACAACGGGTCCTAGCAGGAGCCCACAGTGGCCACACACCATCACCTGCCCTGTGGAAAGGCGCCCAGAGCAGCTGCAGAGCCTGGAAAGGGCGAGGAAGGAGCAGCACACTCCAGGGCTCCCTCGAGGCTGCAGGCCGAGAGCCAAACCCCGCCCACATGACACCCGGCCTGCAGCCACTCAAGAGGGACAGCAAGAAGTGCAGGCAGGTGTGCAAAGGGGCACCCTGGTTTGGCGACGGCTGCAGCCCACCTGAAGCCTGGAGCAGGAGGCCCGACCCTGCAGGGGTGAGCCACAGGACCCTGGGTCTGGACAACTGTGGAGAAGGGGCTCTGCCCTCCGCCCCCACCACCTCACCTGTTAAGATTCGATGCAGCGGCAAAGTGACGTATGTCAAGTGTGCATAGAGAAGGAAGTTCCCATCGGCTCTGTTCAGTTTCAGCCAGGACCCGACCAGGGACCGTCCCGTGCCAGACAGGGACCGGGACCGCAGATTGGTTGCATTGTGCAGGTCGGCTGGAGGTCAGAAAGCCAGATCAGGGTCCCAGCAGTGGGGACTCGGCAGGAGCTGCAGGAGCAAACCCCCAGTCCAGGCCAGGACCCCCTCGGCTGTGTCCTGGGCACTCCTGACGGCCCCCACAGCACCCATGCACCCCAGAGCTGCTGCCTCCTCACCTTCAAGCCCCTCCTTCCACCCTCTGCCTCCAGGGAGACTTCCCTGGCTGCTCCCAGCCTCCCCTTCTCGGTATCTAGCTGAGTCTCCTTGAGGGTTTCTGCTTCCCTGTGCCCTGTCTGACCCTCGAACTAGGCCCTGCCAGCTGCAGGCCACGGGGCAGCAGGACACAGTGCTCTGGGCCCAGCAGGAGAGCTGCCCCTGGAGGCAGAGCAGGTGCTGCGGGCACTTCCCACTGAGCTGGGAAGAAGCTAGTGGAGGGGAGGCTGGTCCAAGCAGGCCAAGGTCATGGCCCTGGGTTAGGGTCAGGACAAGGACAGCTTCCAAGCCCCATCAGTGCTGCCACCTGCTCCCTTGGGGCCCCCGTGGGACGGTGCTCCTGGAACTTCTGCTCGCGCACGATCCGGCATGGGCTGGCACACACCCGCTGGCCTGGTCCTTGAGGGACACTCAGCCCTCACCAGCAGAGTGCGCCAGGTCCTCCCTCCCCGTGCTGGAAGTCCACTTCTAAGCCCTCCGGTGGCCTCCCTGACCATGGATAGAAGAGGACCCCGCTGTCTGGCTGCACAGCTTGCTGGCAGCAGTAGTCACTGAGAAGACACAGAGAAGGGGCTGGCGGTGAGAGGCACAGTCGGCTGAGGGACCTGGGGCCTCTGGACACCGGGCAGTGCTGCCCTGGAGGTTGTGGGCGGGAGCCCGAGGGGGTCCTGCAAGTTGTGATTCTGTCCCTGGAGAACGGGGCGTTGAGCAGAGATGGGGGCGACCCTGAGACACACCCACCACGGAAGGTCCCAGCGTGAGGCCCGCTGGCCATGACAGCACAGGAGTGAACAGGACCAGAGCCAGGACTAGCTGAGTGCCCGCTGGGCTGTGTGCAGCGGCTGCCCCGACCCAGGTGGCACGCGGATATCCGTGCGGCACTCCCAGACCCCGGCCAGCACCCCCACGGTGCAGCCGTGGAGCCGAGCCTTGGGGCCAGGCTCACCTCCACTGTCGTCCTCCCGGAAAAACTCCTCGCTGTCGTTGGCGGAGTGAGACTTCTTCATCTCGGCGATGCGGTTCCGGGGCACCTTCCTCTTGAGGGACGGGGAGAAGAAGGCAGGCCGGTTGTTCCGCTCCGGGGTTGGGGGGGTGCTGAAGGAGGTCACCTGGGAACAAGGAGCCCAAGTCACTGGAGCAGCAGGAGCAGCCGCGGTCTGAGGGCCCCAGGGCCGCTCACATCCTGCCCCCCAAACAGCCCAGCTCTGAGCCCCAGGGGAGCGGCCACTGGACTGCCGCTGCTGGCTCTGGCTCAAGTGCAGCCACCAGGCAAGGGCAGGACGCCTGGCTGCGGTGCCCTCCAAGGAGGAAGCCCCCCGACACCAGGAAGGATGCAGGGTGCCTCTTCCTGGCCTCCACCCAGGGAGGGTGACAGGGGCCACCAGGGATCAAGCCCGAGCCCACCCCGCCCCCTGGAGCCTTGACTACAGGCCAGGGGCTGGCGCTGGCCCATCTGACCATCAGGAAAGGAAGACGAGACAGCGGCCGTGACCAAGTCAGCCAGAGGCCTGACGGCAAACAGGACTGCAGTCCAGGCCATCCCTAGTGCCCTCCCACCGTGAGCCCCACCCCTGACTCCCAGTCCCTTTCCCGAGAAGCACGATACAGCTCATCTCCTCTCCTCCCGCCAGAGCACACTGGTCCCATCCTCCTGGCATCCACAGCCGCTGAGGCCAGGCTGGTAACACAGGCACAGACACAGGTCCCTGCCCTCAAGGAGCTCACAGTCTGTTGGGGGTGCCAGACTCAGAGAGTGACAACCACAGACGGCATGCTGGCCACTGAGACACAGAACCGGAAGCACAGCACACAGGAGCACAGAGGTAGAAGGGACTGGCGGCCTGGGGAATCGGGGTAGGCTTCTTGGAGGAGGTGCGCTTCAGCTGGGTCTTGAAGGACGAGTAGGAGTTCGCCAGGTGAAGAAGGGGGGGAAGGGCGTTCCAGGCAGAGGGAACTTGGCCCATCTCCTCCCTCCTCCCCATGCAAACAAGAATCAGGGCGGCCAGATGAGCTGGGCCGGAGGCTTCCAGAGCCCCGTCGGCTCCTGGTCACAGCTCCGACATCCACCAAAGTCCCGCGGCTGCTGGGCTCCAGACGGTCCTCCCACAGCCGGGAAGGTTTAAAAGACACAAAAACAAACACCAGAAGCTACAATACACACAGCCTGCATTTGTGGTCCGCGCTGGTTACAGGTGGCCTCTGGGTATAAGAGGACATGTGACAGGCAGCAAAGAGCAGGTCCCCAGAGCTCAGGCCTGGCTGCTGGCCCATGTGACCCCAGCGCCCAGGGCCTCCTGCTACCAGGGTCTGGGGCTGCCTCACCCCTCACAGCCACACCACCTGGGGAATCGAGGTTGGGGCAGGCCTGGTGACACGTCTGTGGCCACTCGGCACCCAGCTGGTCCAGCCCAGGGACCAGGCCACAACTCCACATGAACGCTACACCCATCTTTTCAGAGTCCCAGTGGGCAGTCCAGGGCCAGGAAAAATCAGACCCCTTATCTCAGAAATATGGACGGCCTCCGTTCCTGGACAAGAGGCCACCCGGAACTCCACCGTCTTCCCGAGCAGTGGCATCTGTCTGTCTCACAAACACACTGTTGGGAGCAGGGAAGAGCTTGTGAGGAGAGGGAAAAGCCGGCCCTGAGCCCTGGAGACGATGGAGGTTAAGACCTTCTTACAGAATCAAAGCGCAGTGCTCCCTCGCCTCAGGCTCCCGGCCGGGACACGCACACCTGAGGCCACAGCCCAGCACCCAGCAGCCAGGGGGCCACAGGCTCCCTCACACCTGGAGGCAGGAGTCTGAAGGAGAGAGCTGGGGTTGGAGGCGAAGAGGCAGACACACCACGGTCCCAAGCTCACAGCGTCTTTGGACAAGGGCTGGGCAGGCTGCCCCTGGGCCCAGTGCACACACTGCCGCCTCCTCCAGGGCCCGCGGCTCCGAGTGGCCCTCGCTCTGCAGACCCAGCAGGTCAAGGGAGCCAGTGGGCAGAGCCTGGTCTCACCTGGCCCTGGGGGTGAAGCTGCTGCTGACCTCAGCTCTCCGCCCTAGGGACGGACAGTGCCCAGGGCCCAGTGCTGTCCCCAAGAGGTGTGTGACCTGGGCAGCCACCTGGGTTCCAGGCCTGTGGGTAGGATCCTGCCCCCTACCCACAGGAGGAGCCGGCGGCCCCAGGGCTTGTGCTCTCTGCCCACCTAGTGGGCAGCAGGAAGGCCAGCTCCTCCTCACCTCCCTCTGATTCAACATCCAGTCTCATGTGGCCACCTCACCCAGCAGGTCCAGCTGGGCTGCCACAGGGCGAGGCCTGGCTTTCTGGTCGGACTCTCCTGTCCACAGCCCCTGGGGACGCAGCCTGGCTGCACTGGCAGCTCAGAGAAGCAGAACGAGCTGTGGCCCAGGCCCAGCCTCCTGTGTGGCCTTGGGCAGGGCCCCCAGGTCTCTGAGCCTCGGCTTCCTCGTGGGTGGGAGTGACGGTACCTACCTCCCAGGGACTATGGGGTGGGGGACATGTGAGAAGCAAATCCGAGGGACAGGAGGCCCCTCCCCCAGCTGTGTAGCCCTTACCCGCTCATGCATGGGTGAAGCTGGGCTGGAGTCCTCTTCGGTCCCGCAGGGGGACGTGTCACCAGTGGACACTCGGCTGACTGCCATCTCGGCATGGCCCTTTCCCTGGGGCCCCTTCATGCGCACGAACTCCATGTTGTTGTACTTGTAGAAGCCAAATGACATCTTCTGGGCCATGCGAGCCGCCACGCTCACCTGCAGCAGGTGGGATGTGGCCTGAGCCAGTGTGGTGGGGACTGCTCCTCAGGCCTCCCCTGGGACACAGCAGCCAGGGTGACCATCCCTGTGGGCTGCCCGTGGGGGAAGGGGCAGACCCCAGCCTGGCAGGTGCAGCCCTGTGGGGAGGTATTCTGGTCCCCGGTGCCATTCTCACTGCCCTGGAAACTGTGCCACAGCAGGGCAGTACCAGGCTAGGACAGGGTACCAGCACCCCTACCCCAGGCTGGGAGAGGCTCTGGTCTCCAGCAGCCCTGCCACACAGGAGCAGCCTGGGCTCCTCACCCTGTGGCTGGCAGTCAGGGCCAGCTTCTGGGCTGTCCCCAGGAACAGGCCAGGGAGGGCCAGGGAGAGCCAGGGGCTCACGGCACAGTGAGGAGCGAGAAGAGAAAGACCCCCTTGTGTCGGAGGGCTGAGCGTGGCCCAGGGCCACAGGAGTGAGAAGAGAAAGACCCCCTTGTGTCCCAGCTGAGCGTGGCCCAGGGCCACAGGTGCACCGGGGGACAGGCATGGCCCGTAGGCAGGCTTGAGACCACGCAGGGAGACGGGGGTGGGGGGACCCCAGGCGGACACTCACTCGGTTGTCATACACCTTCTTGAGCGCCTCGTAGCGGATGGAGCCCTGGAAGATGACCCCCTGGAACATGTTGGTTTTGTCACTGGCCACCAGCTCCACACACACCATCTCTCCTTCCCCCACGGTCATGTCGCTGAACACCTGAGGGGGCACAAGGAGGACGGGGGGATATGGAGTGTCCACTGCCACCACTGGGACCGCAGCCGGGCCCAGCTGCAGGGACAGCCTGCTCCAAAGCCCCAGTTTGCAGGTGAAGACGCTGACGGAGAAGGCGACAGCCGTCCTGACCCCAGCTCTGCCCGGTCCCCCAGACCCTTGGAGCAGCCTCCCACTGGGCAGGGCTTACTGCAGGAACTCCAGGACTACAGGTGCGGGCCCTGCTGGGCCACAGAAGGGCCAGGCCCCTCGTCACACTTCTTCTGCAAGCAAGTGAGACAGGTTACAAGTTGGCCTGGCCACTGGGCACCTCCCCATGCCAGCTATGCGAACTGGTCCCTGGGCTCAAGGCAAAGGCTCAGCAGCACTGACACACTGACCACCTGGCTGCCTTTCTGAGCTGCTATCCCTGGGGCTGGCACACAGATTGTGTGTGTGTGTGTGTGTGTGTGTGTGTCTGTGTGTGGTTGGGGACTGAACCCAGGGCCTTGTGCATGCAAGGCAAGCACTCTACCAACTGAGCTGTCCCCAGCCCCAGATGTGAGTTTTAAAGCCAGAGACTCAGATGCCAACAGCTTTGCTGTGTGAGGTGGGGAGGGTGTCAGCTCCTGAGCCTCAGGTGCTCAGAGGCCCCAACAGACCTGCCCGCCTTCCTTGTGGACCCTCCCAGGGAACCCCTGGTGAGCACAGGGACCACTCCAGGGCCTCGAGAGAGAAGCAGTGGCTTCCCTTCTGCTCCACCAGTGCCCTGTGCCCAGGGAGCTCGGCTTTCCCAGCTTTAAACAGTCTTGGTCCAGGTGACTCCCGAAGCCCAACCCTCTCTGACACACCAGGATTTCCTGATGGTGGGGCAGGAAGATGCCCATCTGTGGTCATGGGAGACGACAAAGACTCCCCGCCCAGGAGGCACGCACTGTGAGTCTGCCAGGTGCTCTCCCTCCCAGCAGCCCTTGGGTCATCTACCCCATGGGCCAGCAGGACACGCCATGACATTCACACTCACTTTATAGATGAGGCTGGGTGAGCTCCCCTGCCCCAAGTCAGACACCAGCAAGAGAGGCCTCACTGGCCAGCCTCTGGACACCACCAGCCCCACACCTCCTGTGGGAGAAGGTCCTCGCCCTGCGCCTCCCGGAACAGAGCTGGGGAGCAGCCAGGGCAAGCAACTCACCTCCTCAAAGCTGTCAATCATGAAGAAGATGTTAGGGTAACTCATCTTGGACTCTTCCCCTTTGCTGTCCATGGGGTGTTTGCTGGGAGATGCAAACACTTGCTGAAAGAAAGCAGATTTCAAGGGCTGAGAGAGGTGGTACCTCACGGGCTGGCCCAGGGCCACTCCAGGTATGGGCTGGTATGTCCACGCTGCTCAGAGCCTGTCCAAAACCAAGGAGCCACTCTGGAGGAGCTGTGTGCCAAGACCTGGTTGCATGCTCCTTGCATGGGACACAGGACCCCAGGCACTTCTGCAGTCAGACCCTCTCTCCCCTCAGGGGAAGGGAGGAGGGGCGGGCAGGGGGAGGAGTCTTTCCGGCCTAAACACCAGGCAGCCCTGGACTGACGTGGCAGGTGGGAGGCCTGGGGGCTCTCGAACCTGGGCTCACCTGGGATTTCTTCTTATGGATGTGAATGTCACCTCCATCAGAACGTGTGCACACTGCACAGGTCACCATGTAGTCCAGCTGGAAGAGAGCACAGGTCAGTGTGCAGAAGGGGCACTTCCCTCACACCCATGCAAACTCCACCCACTGTGCTCGTACCTTCTGCAGGATGAGATTCAGGCACACGCTCTCCTCCCAGTCGATATCGGGGTCCCCCAGGCCTGGCAACTTCTTGGAGTCGCGCCGGTACACCTCCACCTCCACCTCGGGCTCAGCATCCGCCTGCTACCGCACCGGGCAGGAGTGAATGTGCTGGCCACTGAGCACCTGTGCCCCACCATGGCGCTGAGCAGGCCCAAGATGGACAAGGCCTCCTACTCCCACTGTTCCACTCCCAGCGCTCGAGCTCTGGGACCCACAGGGCATCCGTTCTCCACTTGGAGCCTGGATTTCCTCATCTGCACCGGGCCAGCATCTTCCACTCAAAGTTATTGTGATGATTAAAAAAGATCATATCTGCTAAGTGTCACTAATGACTGTGACATCTACTGAGCTCACAGTGGCCAGGAGGGGTTGGGTTCAATGTTTTGCGAATTATTTATTTTTTGGACCTAACAACATTCCTAGAAGACAAGTGTCATTAGTCCCATTGTAACAGATGAAGGTCAAATTTATTGAAGGTCAAATAATACGCACACATGAAAGAGAAATGAGAGCATCTACCTGCACCTCTCCATGGAGAAGAACGTTAGGGAAAAGTCAAAAGGAGGTTTTGATGCATCTGTCCTGCTGGGAGGCCTCCTGTCCTGGATCCTGGTGAGGCCCAGAGGGCATCAAGGGGAACCAGCCACCCCAGAAAGGGAGTGCTCAGGCCTCTCACAGGGGTGCAGGTCTGGGTACCCGGAGGTGGAGCTGAGACCCACCCGGAGGTGGAGCTGAGACCCACGCAGAGGTGCCAGAGGCTTCAGCCTCAGCAAGAGAAAGGATGTCCTAAGGCGGGAATCCCACTTCCCATGGCCTGTGCAGCACAAAGTCCCCTGAGCTCTGAATTGGGTCCCCGGGGCCCCAGGCTGTTGCTGCTCTTGGTCACACTTCATGGCCCTGGCTGGGCCACTCTCCTTTCCTCCAGTGCTCCCATTTGTTTAGTCTCCTCCAAGAGAACACAGCCCCAAACAGGGTGGTGGACTGTGCACGTGGTGAGGCTCTGCAAGTCTTTGCTGGCCAGTGAGTGGATGGACAGGTACGAGGCGCAAGCGCGGGGCTACTTTCAGATCAGAACCACGCACCCTGGACAGCAGAAAGAGCAGTCCCCTCAGCAAAGCGCCCAAGTGTGCACCACAAGACAGGTCCAAGGATGTGCTGGAAGCTGCTCAGATGTCCACCCACAGGACAGATGGACGGCTGTGGTACACTCAGGGGAACAGCATGCAGCAGCCAGACAAACCACAGCCACCTGAGTCAACAGACACAGCCCAGAAGACACCGAGGAGGCAGCAACTCCATGTCCAGGGGTGCAAGAAGCCAGGCCTGCCCTCGGGGAGGGAGGTAGCCGAGGATGGCCAGGGCCTCAGGTGTGCCTGGATCTGGGGGCTGACGACCCCGGGTGTTCCCACTGAGAGAGACCATCAAGCTATGCATGCTGGCCGCTGGCCGGTGCGCTTTCCCGCATTCCTGTTACACTCAAGAAAACCTACTCCAAGAGAAAAGGGGATGGACCTACTCCAAGAGAAAAGGGGATGGAGCAGAGCCGCGTCGCGGGAAGTGGTGGGATCCAAGGCAGGCTCCTTCCTGTCCCTGAGTTGTGGTTTTCCTGGGAGTGGGTTTAAGATAATCTGTACTCCAGGATTGCTGAGGGCATCAATGGGAGTGACAGTGGCACACTGTGTGGGCCACCAGCAGAGTAGGCCACAGTGGCCCAGTGCTCATCACTGCCAGGGATAAAATGGCCACCAGGAGTATTTCATCCAGGGGTGGTGTAAACAGAGTGTAGGGAATCCAGGACAGACCGGGACAGGCTGGGCCAGGATCCCTAACGTGTCCCTGCAGCAGTGCACAGATCCCAGCATCCTGTGCCCACCCACACTGCAGCACTGGCTCTGCCCATCCACCCTCCTCCACTAGCCCATATGGTTACCATGACAACCGGGTACCAACAGGATAGGGAGGAGTGGGAAGGGGTGGGAGCTGGCTCCATGCTTGCTGCAGAAGACTCTGGGTGCGCAGGCGCAGCAAACAAAGCTGGTCTGCAGTTAGTTCTCCATGGGGCGGGGCTCCGTGCTTGTGCTCCCAGCCCGCCCCCTGCAGGCCGTCCTCTGCACTGCAGCCTGGTGAGCTATAAAAAGTGCCCTGTGTAGAGGGATTCTGGGCAGGTCTTGGCCCTCCACATACTGCACCAAATGCTACCCGGAAAGGCACTATGTTAATGCCATGTTACACATGTCACACACTGTCACACCCTGGGTCACAGGTACCTGGAACCCCCTTCCCATAATACAGGTGCTAGTCTTTCCCCTTGGGGTGTCCACAGTACACAGCTTTCCTCGCTATCCTGTGGGCAGATGTTACTTTCCTTTGCGGCCCCCACTGGCCCTCTGTTCTCCCCACCATCAGAGCACTGGTGACTCTGTACACACTGGCCATGATGTCTGCCTGTTCCATAAGACAGGGGGCTTCCTAAGGACAGTGGCCAGCTCTGGGTCACTTCTACGCTGCAATGCTGGGGCAAAGGGCACTTGCACATGGCTCACTGTGGGTGCACAGTGCTCCTGTGGGACTCAACCCCCCCACATCTTCAAGAGCATCTGCAGGCAGCCCTGCCCCTCCTGTTCCAAACCCGTCAGTCCTGGGCCCAGGCTGCTCTTCCCCGAGGAGGGCTCACATCTCTCACTTCTCTATGTGCCATCTCTGCCAACCCTCTCTCCCCTCACCAGGCCTCCCCAGGGCACACAGACTGACCTCCCCTCTGCCTCCTGACCACAGCTGCCACCTCTCTGAAACGGAAGACAAGAATGCCTCCCAGGGCCCTGGCCTCTCCACAGCCTCTGGCCACAGTAGCCTTTGCCTTGAGGAAAAGACCAACATTTCACAAAAAGAATTTTTTGCAACCTGACTCCAGCAGACAGCAACAGGCTGGAGGGCTAGGGATAGAGGCTGGGCCCAGAGCTTTTCTACCCCAGCTACTCCCTGCTGGGCAGACAAGGATGTCCACCTCCTAAGTGTGGCTATGGGAGAGAAGGTCCCATCCCCCAGCCATGCTGAGGCTGGAGCAGGGAGCGCCCACAGCAAGAGTCATCCTCATGAGGAAGAGCCAGACACCAGCTGAGTCCTGCCAAGGGCATCTCTGTGGTCAGTCACATCACCCAAGCCTTCTAGCCACCCAGGGGTGCATGACAGCAGGGCCCCACCCTTATGGAAGAAGACCCTGAGCCAAGAGGGGACTAGACGTGTCACCTAACAATTAGGGGGCTACGCTGGTCTAGGCAGCTGGCTTAGACTGCCTGCCAGAAGGACAGGTGAGGTGGCTGGACTGAGAGGTCCCACAACCAACACCTGCTGGATGGCCCCACCAACCAGGCCTCCTCCTCACCCCCCACCACTGAAACTGCTCTGCCAGGCCTCTACACCCTCCCTGTCCCAGTCCCATCACTGGCCATGCCACCTCTCCAGGCCCTTCCCCACTTGGCTCTTCTGCTTCTCTGGCCAGTATTCTCCTGCTGGTCCCTCCAAGGCCAGCCTGGCAGGAAGGCACGTCAGTTCCTTTGCCCTGGCTCCTAGGCCTGTCCACTGGCCAGTCCTGCACATATTCAGGCTCTCAGAGCAGATGTGAGGCTGGCAAGGGCTGCGACTGGCTGCCTGGGCAGCGAGCGTTGGCTCAGCAGTGGGCCCGGCTCCACAGCCCCCTCTGGCCTGCCCGATGTCCACCCTGCCAGGCTGCGAGCGCCTGTGTCCCGACTACAGACACGCGGGCCGCCCTGCCCACAGTGGGTAGGCCCAGGACACTGGGCTCAGGCCTTGGCACTGCCATTTGTTCCCTCGCAGTGAGAGGCTGGGCACTCCTCAAAGCTGCAGTGGTGCGGACATCGCTGCCTCAGCCGTCCTGCCACCGTGACTGCCCCAGCCCCGACAGGCGTCCTTCCGGCCTGCACGGGCCTCCCACGGGTCACCCACCTTCCTGCCCTCGCCGCCCTCGCTGCCGGCGTAGGCCAGCTTCCTGCGCACGTAGAAGAGCATGTCGTCCTGCCGCGGGGCCCACTTCTCCATGAAGTAGGTGGAGAACATCCAGGTCCAGAAGACGATTCGGTCATCCTTGAAGCACCCTGCAGGGGGAGGCCAGAGCCGTGAGCGGCCGCCTGCTGACCCACTGCCCCACACCCGCCCGCGCGCCCGCCAGGCACCCGAGAGGCTGGGGCGCCCCCCGGAGGCCGGCTCCCGCGGCTCCTTGTCCCCCACAACGGATCCACCGCGTGAGTCAGACTGCAGCTGGGCAGCGGCCCCAGGGAGCCTGGAGGACCGAGTCGGGCTCTGGAGGCGGCATCAGGCATCACCACTGCCACCACCGCTGCTGCGGCGTCCCCACCTCCACTCGCCTGAGCTGCTGCGGCAATTCCCACAGAGAATCCGACTTAAAGGGACAGCCGCCCTTTGCCAGCTGCTTCCCAGGCAAACAGGAGCCCTGCGCAGGCTGCTTATTTAATTCTTGCACGGACTTCATTATAGAGGGTATTTCTTTTTGATAAATATTTGTCATCTTTTTTTGCACAAGAAGAAAAAGCCCACAGGTTTTGGTAGGAGAACTGGGTCACCATTCCAATGCGGCCACATCATTATGTGACAGTGGGCAGGTGGCTCAGCCCCTGAGCTAGGTGAACTAGACGGTGGGTGGAAGAGCCCTTCCTGGAATAGCAGGCCTGACAAGGTGGGCTTCCTCCCTCCTGGTCAGAACCAACACACCCCCTGGAGCCCTCTTCACCACTGGTGCGCTAGCTGTTGCTGTCCCCTCCCACCCCAGTGCCACTCTGATCTAGGCCTAGTACTGTGCTGCTGGAAGGACCCAGTCCCTGCTCTGACATGGAGAACCTAAGGGCCAGTGGGACCGTCTCCCAGCCTCACTGGCTGTCACTGGCATGAGCAGGGCCTGCCCAGGTCCCACCTCCCGAGGGTCAGCCATGATGCTAAGACCCCAGCAGAGAGCCCCAGCCACACCACTAGCCAGAGAACCAGGGCTCAAGACTAGCCCTGGCGTGGCCAGCTCCCACACCCTGCCTGGCCTGGCCTGGCCTCCAGACACAGGAGCAGCAAGTAGGAGGGTAAAGGCAGACTCCCTCAGGGAGGGGTCCAGGTCAGTGAGCCTCGTCTGCCTCAGGAGCACAGGCCAGGAGACCCCACAGCACAGACAGCTGCCCAGGCTCAAAAGGACCAGGTAGAACCAATGCCCGTGACATCTCACCCCTTTGAATTCCTGCCCCACTTTCCCGACATGCAACACACAGTCCACACCACCAGAGCCCTGCAAAATTAGGCAAAGGCAGGATAGCTGTTCCTGGACTAACCTCTGGCCCTTTAAACACAGGCTGGGTCTTTTTTTCTTTCTGTATTACAGATTGAGCCCAGGTGCTCTGCCAATGAGCTACACACCCCTGGCCTTTTTCTTGCTAATTAGCTGGGGCTAAGGGTGTAGCTCAGTGGTAGAGCGCCTCTGTGTTCAACCCTTAGTAGCCACTCCCAAAATTATGAAGGTGGCACCCAGGTTCACAGAGCTGGAGACAGATCTGCCAGGTGCCACACTCAGACTCCTGGGAAATCTCGGTGCTCAGCAACCTGTTGAACCTGAGACGGATCCAAAACGCACTCAGCAGGCAGCTGCAGCCCCAGGGGTGCAGGCAGGATTGGCAGGATCAGGGGAGTCTGGGCCCTGGCACCTCCTGCTGCTGGTGGCTCTCCAGGAACCTCCAAGCCCAGCAGGATCCAGCAGGTCCCATCCCTGCTTCAGCCAATCTCCTTGGGCTCCAGGCATCAGACAGCTGAAGCAGGCCACCTGCCTGTGGGGACTCCCAGCAGGGTGGCTGGGCACACACAGGGTTCTGGAGCACAGGGCCTGGTCCACCCACCAGGGACCACACCCTGGGTCAGCAGGCCACAGTGCTGTGTGCCAGGCCCCATGCTGGTCCTGCCCATAAGCACCCCTGCAGCACACGTCCCAGCAGCCGTGAGACCATCGGAAAGTCCAGCAGGCGACACTCCTTGCCAACACCTCGTGTAAACCAGGCTCCGATTCTACCCCGTGGCCAGGCTGCCCCCTGCGGCCGTTTGAACTTTACTTGAAGACTCTCTCCTGCCTTCTCCCTAGGACCTTCCCATCAAATCAGGAAAAAGTCCAGAGTCCTTCCTAAGCACTCCATGTCGGCCCCCTGGGCCACCTCTCCCTGGCCACGCTGGCTGCCCACAGCGCCGTACACACTCCCTTTAGGGCCAGGATACAAGCTCCTCCTCCTCCTCCAGCCCCTCCCCATCCCTCCAGGTTTGGCTTAGATGTCACCTAAGATGTTTAACAGAGACCCCCGGCCCCCGTTAAACATGTCCACAGGGACCCCCTATCTTGCTTTGCTGCCATCAGAGCCTTATCACGACCTGGCATTCCACACCCATGCACTGACACGAAGGTGTTCCCAGAGGAGGAACTTGGTTACTATTAGATCTCAGGACCCAGATCAGCACCATGCACACAGCAAGCATTCAATAAATGCAGGTTGAATACATGCAGTACCCAACCAGACCAGAGAAGAGCTTGGGCCATGGGCTACAGCCCTTTCATCCTCAGGGTTTCTGACTTGTGAGCTTCCAAAGAAGCCCCGATTCTCACACAGGTGCCAGGGCTGAGCCCCGCTTCTCTGCCCTTCTGGGCTCGGGAGTTGCAGCACCCGCTGTGCTGAAGGTGCAGGCCCATGTCACAGTCCACTACCTTCCCTCTGCTGCCGCCGCAGGCCAGAAGAGCCCGAGCCAACGAGCTCCAAGAACCCAGGGCTGTCGGCAGGGGACGCAGCTCAGCATGGCCAGCACTGTTCTATCTAGTGCCAGCAGGGAAGACCAGCAGGAAGACCAGCCTGCCAGGGACACACAGGCCTCGCCTGCCCAGCAACTAGTCCCCTGGGTCCAGCCCAGGGGTGCCCTCCAGTAGGGAGCCTCCTAGTCTCCAGAACCCGCTGTCCTGTCTACCTGCATTCAGCAGCTTTCTCGTTGCTGTGACCCAAAGACCTGACAAGGTCAATTTTAAGGATGAAAAGTTTTAAGGTTCATGGTTTCAGAGGCTCAGTCCACAGACAGCTCCATTCTTTGGGGTAGGAGGTGGGGCAGGACATCATGGCGCAAATGTGTGGCTGAGGAAAGCAGCTGGGAAGGTAGCACCCAGGAGCAGCTCCCAGGCACCTCCTGGGGGACCCACCTCCTCCAGCCAGCCCCTGCCTACAGTCACCACCCAGCTAATCCCTGTCAGGGGCCAACGCACTAGAGGCTCAGGCTCTGCCGCTTCACCTCTGCGCCTCTGGCATCTCCACCCCCAGAATCGACACCATGGCACCTGGCTGGAGGGAACGCCACCTTGGAATCCAGGGGATGGACTCCTGGAGCAGATGCAGCCATTGAAGCTGAGACAGACTTACTCAGGCAGCACCACGGACAGCTGCGCTCCACGTGGCAGGCTCTGGGCTGGGGTCCTCAGGGGCTGTGTCCCACAACAGAGCCTCTAGCACTGAATGAGCACACAGGACCCTGCTCCTGGGGGCAATACTGGGCAGGCTCCAGTAGCCTCTGGTCACTATGCCATCACCCGTGACCACTCATGGCCTCAAGGCAGGTTTCTGTCCAAAGGCCTTTTATTCCACACAGAGCTCATTCCTCAACTGAACGCAGCCTGAAGGAAGCTCACTGAACACACCTCTGTGACGCATGGCCTGGCCCTCCTGTGCTGGGCCAGGCAATATCTGGGCACTGCACTGGGCAGCACCATGAGTCACCCACAAAAAGCAGGAGGTGAGTCCCACGGCACCACGTGGGCCCACAGACTCAGATCTACAGGCAGGACACAGGTCTCCTCCTGCACCCTTCGCCGGGAACCAGTGTGCAGGGGACACATTTTCCAAATGTCCACCACTAACCACAAAAGTGTGCCCAGTACTGATTTGGGGTTAGAGATGATTTCAGCAAAGGGGCGAATTCACAAACACAGAGTCCATGAGCCACGAGTACTGGCTGCATCAGGACTGACCCTGCCAGCTCCAGCTGGGAACACCAGCCCAGCCGTGCCCCCCACCCCAGCCAGGGGCCTGCCCGAGTCGCTCGCTGGATCACAGACCTGCAGGTCCCCCACCGACCAACAGCTCAAGGAGGAGTGGGCGAGGCTCACAGCGGGGCGTGCTGCCAGGCCTCCCTCATCTGGGGTGCTCTCTGCTGGTGCTGTCTCATCCTGCAGGACACTGAGCGGGGGACAGGGAGCCCAGCTGCTCAGCAGGACTGGTGTGAGGAAGGCAGAGCAGTGGCTGGCAGGACTCCTGTCAATCACTGCACCCTCAAGGCAACATTATGGGGAGGCCCTGGGCCCAATAGAAACCCGGTCTTCATTCCAGAGATAAAGCAACCTGGGGATGGAGGGACTCGGGGGAGATTCAGAGCTGGGACCTGAAGTGTGGCAGACATGTGCTTCCCAGGCCCACACACGGCACTGCAGACTGAACGGCTGGGAAGGCAGCCCAGGCCCCCCCACTGAGCCCCCGCCCTGCCCTCCCAACACAACACATGGGGGTGGCTCACAGTGGGCCTCTCAGGCCAGCCAGGAGGACACCCGCCTTGTCCATGGGTGCTGTGGGGGCCACTTCCCGCAGAATGCCAAGCAAGCACCAATCATGTCCCATAGAGAGACCCCTCAAGTGCACCTGACCAGAAAGGGACCTCTGCACCTCTCAGGGCTTTTCACAATGTAGCGCAGGCTGCAGAGGCTCCAGGAGCGAGAACAGACTTGGCCCACACTGCTGACCCAGCACCGCCAGCAAGCCTCCAGGGAGAGCGGGGAGAGCGGGGAGAGCGCAGGAGGGGCTGGGCAGAGCACGGGCCGGTGAGCGCTCCTGGACAGACAACCACTCCGTGGCTATGATAACCACTGGGCTGCTTTCTACCAGCTGGACCCTTTGGAAAACCCGAGGACTGGGTCTGAGGAGCACTGCTTGAGACCTCTCCCAGGCCCATCTGGACCACTAACCCACGAGGTTCCAGCCGGCTGTGCTAAGGCCATCAGACAGGACGGCCGTGTATTCGGGGGGAAAACGCA